AAACTCAAAAAACACAGTCCTACATCACGTTGTGGTGGGCCTCAAAATCACTGAGATTTGGGTCCTATTTTAAAGTCTGAAATTTTTTTTAAAAAGATTTTTGATTTTATATCACTGCAATATGACTGTGGACAATCTATACCTACACACAGTTCTGTCCAGCTTACAAAAATTTATTTTCACCATAGGTTAGTTAATCATCATAATGTTTCATAATAATATTAGTTAAACAAAGTCAGTCGTCATTCCTTGTTAGTTGTTGTTAACTAACAAATACAAACTCTTGCTAACACAAATTTGGATTTTTTTTATAATGCATTCAGGCATGTTGAATTATGATTGAATGTTGTAATTTTCATTCTTAGTTTTAGCAAATACATTAACTAAAATTAACTAACAGAACTTTACTATTGTAAAGAGTGACAATTACACTACATAAAACATTTTTGCACAAAAACAATAGATAGGGTGAATTAAAATTTCTGAATCACAGTAGTATTAAACGAACAAATTTCCTATTCTCATAACATGGTCTTGTAACTTACCCTCAGCATCTTTTAGAGACTGTAGCATGGCAGCATCCACACCCTGGTCCTTCTTCTCAGCTTCACTGGAGCTAGTGTTACTGCTGGATTTTTTACTAGCTCTTTTATTGCCAAAAAGTGTCGTCCAAAAGTTCTTTTTGCATTTCTTCTCCATCATGGGAGATGTACAGTATAACTGAGATACTGTGATGTTAATTACTGCTGTAAAATGTACAGTCAATTTGCAACTTGCAGTGTGGGTGTCGTAAGAGTCAACCATAGAAATACACATGTAAATATTTGAGAGCCAACAGACAAATCCAGAGAATCAGAGAAATCGCATTCCAAAGTTCCAGAGTTGCTATAGCAACGGGGCGCGATTCGTTCTATGGGCGGAGCCTCCACCTCACAAGATGCGTTATGCTGCGTCTGCTTGTTTGTGCGGAAGTGTTAATAGTGTTTGTTGTGCATGGTTTAATATTTGTTTCTATTAATAATGTTTAATTTTTAAATAGTGCCAATAAAGTAAAAATAAGTGTCTAATTATGTTTATTAGCTTTTATTGTAATGAGCATAGTAATTTGAGAACAAACACAGAGCTCGTTTAGTGCAGTCCTCTCGTTAAGAGTTGACTCTAATATTAACCATAGTTTTATTTACTGCAGTAACCATAGCTAAACTTTGTTTTTTGTAATAAAACCACAAAATGAACTTTAACTTTGGCACTTAAAGTAAAACCATAATAATTATAAAATTAACCACGGCTTTTGAAGTAAAAAAAAAAAAAACACACTTCAAAATGAAGCATTTTTACTAAGGTGAATTTAATTCAGTTAATTATTCTTTGGTTTATATGTAAATATTTGATTTGAAACCTTTTTACCACTTTGCATAGCAGTGCTTTATTGCCAATATCATACTGGCACATGTAAACCTTTTACCCATGTGGTTTACATTCTTTTCCAAATAAGATGTACAGTTGAAGTCAGAATTATTAACCTCCTTGAATTATGAGCCCCCCTGCTTATCCCCCCCCCCAATTTCTGTTTAATCATGTGTTGATTTTTTTCAACACATTTATAAAGTTTTATTAACTAATTTCTAATAACTGATTTATTTTATCTTTGCCATGATGACAGCACATTATATTTGACTACATACTTTTCAAGACACTTCTATACAGCTTAAAGTGACATTTAAAGGCTTAATAGGTTAATTAGGTTAACTAGGCAGGTTAGGGTAATTAGGCAAGTTATTGTATAATGATGGTTTGTTCTGTAGATTATCCAAAAAAAAAAAAAAAAAAAAGCTTAAAGGGGCTAATCATTTTGCCCTTAAATGGTGTTTAAAAAATTAAAAACTGCTTTTATTCTAGCTGAAATAAAACAAATAAAAATATTATAAGAAATACTATGAAAATTTCAAACGTTCAAAATGTTAAACATCATTTGGCAAATATTTTTTTTTTAAAATTAAAGGGTGTTTAATAATTCTGACTTCAACAGAAAATGTTTTTAATAAACATCTGTGTGTGTGTGTGTGTGTGTGTGTGTGTGTGTGTGTGTGTGTGTGTGTTGTTGTTGTTGTAAATGTTACTGCATAACTTTTGTTATATGTAATACAACATGCTTTGGTTCTCTGGTTTAGTTATAAATACTATAGCTTTACTGTAGTATTAATAGACTACTACAATGTTACAAAACCAAAACCATGGTTAAAAAAAGGTTTGCACCAAATAAACACGGCTACAACAGTCATGGTTCCTATATTGTTATTATTAAATACTTATATACTGTTATGTAGTATTAATACAATTTAAAATCACATTACGCACCCAAAAAAGCATGGTAACTACAGTCAAATTTACTACAGTTTTACTATGGTAAAACCATCTTTAATATCAGAAGAAATAATGATGAGATGTAATTTTCCTTATTTTCTTTCTTACTAATCCTGAAATCTTACAGGTATATTCTTGACTTTGCACTTTGGTGCTATGTCAGGTGTATTATTATTATTTACTTTTATTATTTGTAAACACTAATGTTGCATATTTAAATACAATTATATTCAAATACTATTGAAGCTATTAATTAAATCTGAAATGATAAAAAACAGTATAGATAAGTGTAATTCAGAGAATGAGAAAATCTGTAAGACCATTTAACCAAAACCCTATTAAATTCTCAAAGAAAACGCACACATTAACCATCATTTATTCAAATCTACTGTTTACAAATACTTATCCAATCTGAACAATACAGATTCTTCAACCATGCAGTTTTGTTCAAGTCACCAATAATAGAAAGTGAACACCTCAGTTGAAAAATTAAACCAAAGACTAGCTTTCATTAAACAAAAAGTCATAGAAACATAATGGCAGAATTTCATTTTTAAGTGAACTATCCATTTAAGCTTGAATTTATCAACAATAGTTATCAAAACCCGCATTAAGACTAATTTCCAAATTTAAAAAAACATGCTAAAAAGATAGAAGAAGATTCAGCAGTAGCTTTATTACATCCATATATCCTAACATTGTACGTCTTTAAATATTTATATATAAGGACCTGTGACTGTGAGGACCCTGCATTATCACCTTAGGTACAATTGTTTCCTGAGTGTCTTTTATATGAGGCAGGCATCTGTAACAAATATAATGTGTGATAAAGCTAAATACAAACAATATTGAAATGACCAATAACTTATTTGAGCTTCTCAGAACTAGCGGCCAGTACCATGAAGCAGGTTTAGCTGGCTAGTCAGTTAAGTTTCAGTTTAGTTTGCACCAAGTATGGGTTTTAGGTACCATGAGCTCAGCTGCTCCGTAATACCATGGCAACAAAGAGTGATTAAAGTCAAGCTGCTTTCATGTTACCCAAAACCCATGCAGGGATTCAGCAGGTTTCATCAAAACCAAAACCAAGTCAAATTAAAGACTTTTTAAGACCATTTTAAGACCGTCATGAATGAAACTCTAGACGTATACAGAGCTAAACAATAAGGATTTTTTTATTGACCCATGTTTATTTTTGCTTGTTACAACAGCAAAAAAATTAAAATATTTTTTTATTCTTTAGCCACATGTTGGAATGTGTCAAAACAAAAAAACTCTAGCAAAAGTTGTACTTTTTTTTTTTAAACGACAAGTTTAACATTGTTAAAATATATTTCTTATGGACACAATTACATGAATAATCAAAAACATATTTGTTGGCTTTTTGTCTGAATGGTTTGAGTATAACTCCTATTCAACATAATGGTTTTTTGTTATGAAATCTTGCCTAGTCCATGTCTGTTATAAGATTATGTTAAGGGAAATATTGCTCTTTATTATCATGAGGAACTGTGTAAATGTTTTTTTTTAGTTTTCTTTCACTGATTAGAGAATTAAGTTTAGGCAATTTGCTGTAAAAAATGTATAATAGCTGCCTTCTCTTTGCAATAAAAAATATAACATGAATAATATATAAATGATTATTGGTAATCGGTGATTGGATGGATGTTGTACTGATTGGGTAGCTTTACTTGGACAGAGGAAAATTATGATCTGTTTAAAATGTTTTAAGACATACAACATAGTTAAGGTCTAAAATTTTGCTTTTGAAATTCAAGACATTTTAAGACTTTTAAGACATTTTAAGAATTTAGTGACAACTTGTGTCTCCCTATATTGATTTACCATAGTACTTTGAATATTCGGTCTGGAACCACATTACGACCTGAAAACCACATTAGCGCTATTTTATTTGACTGTTGTATATTGGCTGCTAATAGGATTTCACTGTTTTAAATTAGCAAATAATACTTTTCTGAAATAATATTATTAATGAGAAAGTCTGAATGTGTGAATATAAAACCAACTTTACCTCAGTTCACGTATAAGTAGCTGAATTGTACAGACCCTATAACTAACATGTATTATATAAATTTATAAAGATAAGCAAGAAAAGAGATTAATTTACTAACGCAATTAAACATTATTTGGTTTCAATGGTACAAAAATCAGCTATTTTTGTTCATGAAACCGAGCATGTTGAATTTGACTTTCTGGTGGACAGTGTCTGCGATCTCTGATTATTACTCTTTCAGACAGATGCAGAGGATGCAGAGATATGCTGGACGGCTGAAAGAGTCAGTGTCGACCTCACCCCTCCAACAAAAGCACGGACAGCTGGCGCTCTCTGTTGGACACTTCACGAGCATCTTTTTACTGATGGTTGATATTGTCTTTTGCTGTTGAACAGTGTTTCCCCTCCCCTCTCCAGTATTTTAGAAATGCTGTCAAGGATTTATAGGAAATTAGCTGCTCTAAACGTTTATTCGTCGACGACAGTCGAAACTTCTCGTCAAAAAAAGGCAACGTAGTATTTAGTAGATTGTGTTTAGTGTTATCCATGCTGTTGTTTACATCCGGGTATTGGAATCAACCATTCGTTGGTAGATTGATCGACAGGCAATCTGACCAATCATAATGCAGAATTTCTGTGCCCTCGTGATGTTCCGCCATTTAGTCCGACAAGCGAAAAACCCAAACCAGCAAAACCAAACCAAACCAAACAAAACTAAAAAAAACCTAAGTGGAAGATTGACAAACGCTGGGTAAGTTAGAGTAACATCAGTGATTGAGAAAAATGGTGAAAAGGTGCTCATATGGGGACTGCAAAACAGATGAACGGTACCCAGAAAGGGTGATCAATATAAAATTTTATCCATTCCCCAAACCCTGCCGAAACCTGCAGAAGTGTTTGAAATGGTTACGTTTATGTGGAGGGCCTAACCGTCAACTGAATATGGACAAGCTGAGGATTCATTCCAAAGCCAAACACATCTATGTGTGTTCAAAGGTAACACGCACACACAATGCCAGTTTTGCCTCACATTTCTGCTCTGTATAAATGTACTTTAGGTACTTGAAGTGTAATATAGATTACCTTAGACTATTTTTCTATAAATTAACTCCAGCACTTTGTTGATGGCCGGCCGACACCAGCCACTCCTGATCCTCTGCTATATGAACCAAGTGACGACACACCTGCAAGACGTATACGAAAACAAAACGATGCTGAAGACGGGAGGTATTTTCCCATTTAAACCAAAAAAAAAAACAATTAGTAAAAATGCACTAGTAAAACTGAATAAATGACACATGACAAATTACAATCACATTAATTGCAATTATCTACTAAGCATGCTCTTTCACATTCATAGATTTGGGTATGATCAACAAGGCGTTTCAGTTGATATTACAGTTGAGGTGGAGCCATCAGCAGAGGAGACCACTACAGAAGGGGATGCTATGGTCACTGAAATGGGTAAGAGTACCCCATTTCAAAACACTTTAGGTTTTTTTTCTCCACAAATTTTACATCAAAGTGAATACGCCCTAAATTGTCACATTTTGACATGCACATACAACATCATTTCAATCACATTTCAAGGCCCTGTTATATCCATCTGTCCTATAACTTGGGAATAGTACTGATTATGTATGCAGGATTCATACGGTTTTGTAAAAAAGTTTTGTTAAAGTCATGGCAACTTCTTTAACAAATACATGTGCACTTGAATAGATTTAATTGATAATACTGCTTAAAGTACCTATAAAATTGTTAACGTTTGAGTTTAAACATATTGGAATAAAAATGTTTAATATGCATAGTTCTGTGTGAGCATTTCAAGAGTGTTTAAAGCAAATATGCCCAAACTAGGACCTGAATCTAAGAAAAGAGGGGATTGTCAATTCAAATTTAATCTAACCCTTTCTTTTTTTGGTATTATTTTTCAAAGCTAACTGAATTTAAATGGTGTATATGAATCAGATTTTGTTTAAATGTATGAACTGTCACCTGACAATGCAGAGACTTTGGCAGGCAAATCAAGTCAAAGGCAGGTTCTGCTTGACTAGTGTATTCAGCATTGAACTCCACTGTGTTATAAATGTGATTGTTTATGTTTTTATTGCAATATGTGATTTAAAAAGCTATAATGCATTCATTTATACAGTTTAAAGTAATGTTTTTAATTTATTTTATATTTTGAAATATTATGAAAACAATAAAAAATTACCGGGGGCAACTTGGTCCACGGCTCTCAATGATATTTGGTTTTTGGCCCTACATAAGAAAAAGCTTGGGCACCCCTGGTTTAAAACAAATGGGTGCAAGAATTAAAATTAAACCATTAATTAACTTAAATTCAGGCCCGGCGCCAGGATGCCATAACTGAGGGGGCATTTTAATCCCATAGGGGGGCACTAGACCTTTTGGTCCCTCTTGTTCCTTTCATTTAGGCTTTTTATTCACATTTATTGTTACTTTGCATTACTGCCTGAGTTACTGACTTAAATCAATTAAATAATAATATACTTTTTATAGTAATAATAATATGCACAGTTTCGCTATTACTGATTTTTACTGATTTATTGAACGTTATGCAACAATACTGTACCGCAGATCATGGCTTCAGGGCCAAACGAGTGCTTTAAATCATATTTTATTCTCCTTATTTCTTTCAGTTTTATTTCAAATAATAGGCCTATAAATGTTTAAAGTTTTAGGTAAAGATGCACACACATGCAAGCTAACCCACGGTCAGACTATTCGTATAACCGGCATATAGTGAAGTAACCGAGTCATCAGGCTTCATTACGCAACCAACATCAGTGTTAGGAAAAAACTAAATGTTACAGTCTTTAAAAATGATTTAGTTACATTTTACGCGTTAATGTAGCCAGAAAAATACCTAAAAGAAATAACGAAATTCACAGTTATTACCGTGAAAATTGGTAATTTTTTTGGGGATAACACGCAACACAATATGCTATATAATTTTTTCATAATTTTAAAGGTAAAAAAAATAAAAGATTTATCTTAGGCTATAACTGAGGTTTTTTTTCCGTGATATTGTCCGGTTGGCATTTGTAAAAACGACATCATAAACCACTAGGTTACTAGGCCTATACCTGTCATTATATTTATTTATTAAACCTATTTTAATAACTTGTTTTCAGGTTATTTTCATTTTGTAGGGCCATGAGCTACAAGTCAAAACAAACTCTATGCTAACTGTATTTTAGCTCTTAATACAGGTCTACAATATGTTTTATGGTGCTATTTTGCATGAGCAAATAGCAATAGCCTAAATTACATATTTTTAAAAGATTATCATTTAGCCTACCTGCAGCACATGTGAGAGATGGATCCGCGGCAAATCCACTTACGCACTTATTCCATTTATAACACTGTAAACTTGACTTCGCAGGCCGATCATTTAAATGCAAAAGGCATTTGCATTTAACTTGACTGCTGCTGCATAATGGGATGTTTCTTTACAAAACTGTAAAAGTGTGCTTTAGCATGTCAAAATGAAAGCAAACATTCAAAAGGGTACTGCGTTTTGTCAATTTTATAATAATAATAATGAATATAATAAATTTAAATTATAATTATAGTCTAGACTACTGTGGGATTGTGCAGTGAATTTTTTTTTCATTTTAATATCCTACATAACTGAAAAACTATTTTGAAGAGCTGGCAGTTGCGTTTTTGCTCAAATTAATTTAACGGCAAATTTCTTCTGCGTTTTTTTCTCTTTGGAGCATAAGAGAGTTATATTTAAAGAATTAGTTTACCAAAACATGTAATGAATTAGGCTGCTATGGCCTCATGTCATTAGTCCAGTTTTTTCTGTGTGAGTTAAGTGCGCCTCCCCGTGCGCGTTTTAAAGGCTATATACGGGCGCACCTGGCCTGACGCGGGGACCAGATATCTGGACTACATGTCTAGATTTAATCTCACCATTTTTATAATTTATTTGCTATTTCATATTATACAATATCTAAATGTGTGTTCTAAAGATTGGAATGACGGGAGTGTTAGTAATTAATGACTAAGGGTACTTTCACACCTACACTTTTGTTTCAGAACCTGTCTCGTTAGCGCGGTTCGTTTGGCATATGTGAACAGGGCAATCGTGCTCTGTTCCGCGCCAAAGTAATCGCTCCGAGATCGCTTCGAGATTGCAGTGAGAAAGCGATCCGATCCGAGCGCGATTATATCACTATGATTTATGGATATGTAATAGGCATACGGCTATATGAAGAGAGAATTATGAGTAGGGCAGGAAGTTTCGCAAGTCTCCGCAGGGCTCAACATTAAGGACTGCCCGATGGCCCGGGGCCAGCTTGTAAGATGCTTGGGACAGTAGACAGGATCGTTACTTGCCCGATCGGGCCACTGATGCCCTGTCACTAAAGTTTAACTTGCCTGTGACTATTTGTCAATTGCGTGCAAATACAGTCAGAATCGAGAAATGTTTTTAAGCCTTCAAATGCTACCTTCTCAGTACCTCTTATCTGATTGGATGTTGTGAGCACGTTATTTTTTTCCATAACAACCAGTTTAGCGAAGAGACAGCAACATGGTGGCAACATCAAGAGATGATGGTAAAAGAAAACATTGTTTCTAACATCTTGCAAACATTTACACCTCGACTAAAAAAATTAAGAGATGTTTTGTACAGTTTGGCGTCAGTTTGGCAGGTCAGTCATCTTTTGTTTTGCAATAAAATACCTGCACATTTTGCTACTTTTGTTTGCAAAACAAATTTTGCTCATTATACATGCATTAACATTTTTTTAAATATATTAAATCTATATTTACAAACATTGACACTTTTTTTTTTATTTGTGGCTAAGAAATAGCTAGTATTTTTATTTTTTTTGGGTGGGGCCAGTGAAAATATTGGCAGGGCAAGTAAAAATCTGAACCACTGGTCTGATCAGGCCTGTAAAAAAAAATCCTTTGCGTTGAACCCTGCTCCGGATGCCCGCAAACGAGTGATAATCTCCCGGTAATCGCGCGTCTCCCTCCCGGTCCTCAAATAGGCATCGTCGCGCACCCTTCTCACCCCTCCCCACTGCATCTCTCCTCAGACATGTCGCGTGCACCTTGTCAATCACCACCAAACCACCACCTCTCCTGACAGCTGAGCGGGACGCTGCAAAATAAATCCTGACACTATGACCAATGTGAGGAGAGTTTACTCGCTCATGACTTGTTTTAGCTCTTTTGGTCCGATTAGAAACTTTGCAATGTGAAAGCGAACCGCTCCAAGAGCAAAGAGCAACAATGTAACAATTGTAATCCCTGTTTCGGAACAACTGAATCGATTCACAGATGTGAAAGCACCCTAAAAGAATTTTCAGTCTTGACAATAATCCTTTATGAAAACTGGGGGGCACACATTCTTTCTGAGGGGGCAATGCCCCCCCGTAGCGCCGGGCCTGCTTAAATTAAACCTTTTTGACTTAATAAAGATACATTTTTCCTGGGTTATTTACAAAATGAAGACATTTTTTTTTTACATTTGATTATATAATTTCTGTACCTGAATAATGTTAGACTCCTAAGAAAACTTATTAATTGCTATGTAAATGGAGATTTTTCATAACTATCTTAGTAAATGTATTTGTTCTTTTATTTTAGGCAAACCGCCATGTAAAATAGTAAAGTTTGATCCATCATTGCATCTTGGGGACACAGAAAACAAAACTGAATGTGTGCAGTTTAACCCATGTAAAGAGGGTGAAGAAGCTATCATTGGTGATGGCGCTCCACCTGCAACAATACTTGTAGCTGGCCAGGACAAAGCTGAAATAGCAGATGAAAGTCAGACGAGAGACGAAGGGTCAAATGATGACAATGCCGGACAGCAGGAGTGCCATTTTTGCAGCTCTATGCGTGATGAAATTGACCACCTGTTAAAGGAAAACCGAAAACTGAGGAAAGAGCTTGCTAAAAAAAACATGGGAGAGGACTCGTTTAAAGAGGACAATGCGAAGGTCAAGTACTACACTGGGCTACCGTGTTTTGTGATTCTGATGGGTGTGCTGACACAGCTTCTTCCCCACCTGCCACAGACTGGCCACAAACTCTCACCTTTTCAGATGCTCCTTTTAACACTGATGCGCCTCAAACTCAATCTGCCAGTTCAGCACATCGCATACCTCTTTTGTGTGGATCAAGATACGGTGTCCAACACGTTCAAAGATACTCTTGGCACTATGTTCCAACAACTTAAATCTCTCGTTCACTGGCCAGAAAGACATTACCTGCAAGCCACCATGCCACATCAGTTTGTTGAGGCTTTTGGCAGTTGTGTGCCAGTTATTGTGGACAGCTTTGAAATTTGCACACAGAAAGGATCAAGTTTCAAATCTAGCGCTCACACATTTTCCCACTGCAAACACCATCAAACAATGAAATATCTCTTTGGCATTACGCCACGAGGATCCATATCTTTCATTTCTAAAGGGTGGGAAGGTTGTGTCAGCGACAAGCATGTGACAGAGAATAGTGGCCTTCTTGATCAGCTTTTACCTGGTGACTTGGTGCTCGCAGATCACGGATTTGAAATCGGACACAGTGGTGGACTCATGTGTGCCGAATTGAAAATCACAGGAGGACGCAGACTTCTGGACGCTAAAGATGCGGTGGAAAAACAACAAATAGCTCACCTTGGGGTGCATGTAGATAGAGTGACTGGATGTGTGCGCACAAAGTACATCATGCTGAATGGGATTGTTCCTGTCAGCATGGCAGTCCCATGTGAAGGGGAGGACATGACATTCCTGGACAAGATTGTGACTGTATGCTGCGCCTTGACTAACATGTGCCCCAGCGTTATGAAAACATAAACTAAGAAATTACCAGTCCTTCAAATCAATTTCTCGCAAGGAATATGCCATCCAACATACAAGTTTGTGTAAATATGTTATATAGACATTCATTTATGTATATATTGGATGTTTAAATAATAAAAAGTGCCTGTATATATGTATTTTTTTTCAGTGTTTCCAATAAGAAACATCTTTACTGTCTTTTCTACCTAACAGATGATAGATAGCTAGAGCCATTTACAGTGAGTTAAGTTATAGTTAAATCATCATCTGCTGTAGTTAAATAGTAAAAAAGGTAGCACATTAAACCAAAACATTAACACAGATAAAAAAGAAGACATATTAGGTGCTGTATAACCCACTCCACTCATCTACAAACATAAAAACCACAAATGAACAGCAGCCTATGTAACCACCACTAGATAGCGCTGTTTACGTGCACTGCTTGGGTAAAGTCTAGAGATGTCCAAACTAGCCCCATGGTAAGTTTTGATTTGGCCCACCATCTCTCTCTCTCTCTCTCTCTCTCTCTCTCTCTCTCTCTCTCTCTCTCTCTCTCTCTCTCTCTCTCTCTCTCTCTCTCTATATATATATATATATATATATATATATATATATATATATATATATTTTTTTTTTTTTTTTAATGATACTGCATTAGTTTATATAAAGTAATGCGTTTTTTTCATTTAGGTAAATAAATTAGGAAATTACCCATAGCAACCTTAAAATTACAGTTTGTAATATTTACTTCTAGACCGCAGCATTCAATCAAGTTTGGTTTTTGGCCCTCATCATAGGAAAAAGTTTGGGCACCCCTCTTCTAGAAGATAAAGTCTAGATTGGATACATCACTGTAGCATAATTTTTGTGATGCTGTATGACAAAAACATTTTTATAGCGTTACCTAATAAATATCCAGGCCTGTAGCCAGCCTATTGTAAATAAGAGTGGTTCTTTTTTTCTGAAAAAGTGGACCTTTTTGCAGTTATTGTCGTCATTTAAGAACTAATCTTTGCTCCATAAGCTTGTTGGATGGTGATCATAACCACACTATTTTTGATGCACCAAAAATGTTTTCAATTTATATACAATTTAAATATTGTTATGTGATTATCATTAAAAAGTGAATATGAAAAAAACTTATTATCAAATTTATTATCCATCATTAAAAATAAAAATCTGGTAAAACTTTTTAAAAAAATGGTATATAGGCAAATAACAAACTGGCTAGCTCATTCAACTTTCCTGTCAAAATTTGGCCACTTGAATAATTAAAAATTTAATTTGTCTTAAAGCCTTTTCTATTGATCCTTTTCACAATTTATAATGGCATAGCAGTCAAAAATTTGATTTTTTTTTTCTATGGAGGACGAAACCTGCAAAAACAGTCAATAAATAAATACCCCAAAAAATAAATAAATGAGTAAATAAATTCATAAATCCCTGCATGAATAAAATAATAATAAATAAATAAATGTGTGTAAAAATCCACAAATTCCTGCATAAACAAGTCTATACCTAATTAATAGTGCGGGCAGGTAAATAACTAAATAAGTTACACGAGGGGAATAAGAAAAAGTTTATTTTAATTAACGTTTGAAAGAGGGGAAAATTAAACTTTTAATTTAGCATTTTCTTATTCCCCTCGTGTAATTTATTTAGTTATTTACCTGCCCACACTATTAATTATTTAAATATTTATTTTAGCAGGAATTTGTGGATTGTTTATATACATTTATTTCTTTATTTGCATATTTATTTATTTAATGTTTTATTTAAGCGAGAATTTATGGATTCATCTACTCATTTATTTATAATTTGCGTATTTATTTATTTATTTATTTATTTATTGTTTTTGCAGGTTTCGTCCTCCATACTTTTCTCAATGATAGGATACTTAAAGAACTAGATATTTATTTAAATACCATTAGGAGAGTACAAACAAAAAAGCTGTTACATCTGTTTACACATTTAAATTAGCAAGGCCTAGCATTATTTGTAAAATTTTTTGTCTATTTTATTATGTTTTACCTACTGTGTTGTTGTACTTTTATATAACTCTTATGTTTTTCATATTTGTTGCATGAATTAAAAAACAGCTGCAGATACGCATGCGCACATCAATATATCACAGCATACGTTTTGCGACACTTCAACAATAATAATCGTTTTTACGTTACTGTGAGGGCAGACGTTAAGTAAAATAAAATTAAATAGGTAAAATTATGAAAAACACAATAATTCTCGTTAACTTGATCGTGACATTTTAACGGATATGACGTACACGGAAAAGCTTGTGTATTTTGTCATGTGATGCTCGCACAGAAACGCAAGAGAAGAACTTTTATAAAGCGTTGAGTTCAGTTGATGGTAAGTCTGTTGCCTTTTGTGTATTATGACTTTAATAGATGCTTTCTGGGTTTATAACAGTTTCTGGATTAGACATGTCTGCAGTTAGTAAGTAACGTTAAACATGTTGCCAAAGATGCTGGTAAAATGCTGTTGTAATGTCGTATAATCTCCTACGAAAATTAACCATGGTTTTACTATAGTAAACGTGTAGGAATTATGGTTTCTCTACGTATTGATTACCAATTTTTATACGTTAACTATAGCTATATTATTACTGTTGCATGCTTAATTCGTGTTTACCTTGGATTAACTGGAGTTACCATGGTGTTTGCTTTTATTTGTAGTAAAACCATGGTTAATTTTCAATTAGGGTAAAGTTGGTTTTATTTTCACACATTTCGACATTCTCCTTAATAAAATAATTTCTGAAACGTATTCTTTGCAAAGACTAAGTAGTGAAATCATATTAGCAGTCAACATCAGACTACAAGATTGTTTTTAGTCAAATAAATAGTGGTAATGTTATTTTGAAGTCATTCTTACACATGATTTCAGACCCAATGTTTTAAAGTACCATGGTAAACAATATATGGGACTAAATCAAGTTATCACTGAACGAATATGCAAATATAAAACCAAGTTTACCTCAATTTCCTATGTTGTTTACCATGGTACTTTGAATATTCAATCTGAAATCACGTGCAAGTATGACCAAAGACTATAGAACACATATAATACAGTATGCCTTAAAGGGACTTTGGTAGACTTGAAAACAACATAAGCACTATTTATTTGACTGTGAACAATGTTGTACTTTGATAGTCATAGGCTGCTAATATGATTTCACTATTTAGAATTTGGAAACAACACTTTTCTGAAGTTATACCATTAAGAAGAATGTGCGAATATAAAACCAACTTTACCTCAATTATTTTCATGCCATGTCCTTTACTTTTTAACTTTTTCCCTAGAGTGTGCTGCAGGCGACGTACATAATCAGTCCAATGAATATGGCAGATGTGAGTATATTTGTAAATTAATTTTCTGGTAGTGAATTTCTCATGAGTCTAATAATGTGTTTTGACTTGATTCTTGCAGAATCTCAGAAGCTATTTGTATAAACAACTACCAAGGTAAAGACATTCTTTTTGGATTTTAGACACATTTTATTTCATTCATTGCCAGATGTAATGAATGCTGAATTGTTTATTTTTAATCTGTCATCAGTGTTGAAGGACTTCATGCAATTGTGGTGACAGATAGAGATGGGGTCCCTGTAATCAAAGGTGAAAACCAGATCTCAGATTTTTACATTTTTGTGCACACTACTGGTCAAATGTATAAAAACAGTAAGATTTCCTTTACTTCATTTAATTAAAACATGAATGTAGCAACAAAAAAAAAAAAGTTTATTCCTTTGAATCAAAGTTGTGAGTATTATTACTTTCTTTAGTCTTCAGTTGGGCTGCACGATATTAGAAAAATCAAGCATTGCGATAATTTTTTATTTTGCGATTTGAATACAGTTTCACCAGATTACTTGAATATCTCTATTTGGAAAGATTTTATAATATTAGATCGATTGGGATGATTCTGCAATGGGAGTGTATCTCCATAAAATACAATAATCTATAAACGTTTTGGGGCCCCTTACACATTTTTCATGTGGTCTGTGCTATTTGCAGAGCATTTCTGTATTTGCATGTGTTGTGAGTATTTTCATGCACATGTTTAGTCAGCGATTGATGAATTAATGTTAACTATTTGTATCTCAATAAAATCGAATGAACAATCTATATACTTTTTGGGTCCCCCGACACATTTTCCATGTGGTTTGTGCTAGTTGCAATTCACTTCTGTATTTGCATGTGTTGTGAGTATTTTCATGCACAACAATCTATAATTGCAATCAAGAAAAAGATACAACTGAAAAAGTGTTTGATTGTTTCAGTATTTCCGTTTAAGAATTGAATTTATTGAAAGGGATAGCCCCTTGAGATGAATCATCTCATTTTCGAGGGGGTCCCTAAAAAGTTCATAAATCAAAGAGTACAACACATCAGAACGTACATACACTTAACAAGACAAACTAACAATCAAACAAGCAGCACACTCCGCCTGAAACACTTCCCACAATCTGAAGCCTAAATAAACAAAAACATATAATCAAAAGTACTAACAATTTGATATACAAATAAATAATAAACATTTAATTTGGTGCCAATATTAATACCATTCGCAAGTTGTTTCCAAAAAAGAAAATAAATTAGCTCGAAAAGACTAAGTGATTTAATTGATCCAAAAAAAAAAGAAGGGAGATCGTTCCAGTCGGAAGGAGCTTTGTATCGAAAGGACCTACGGCCACTTTCTGTAGAAATTCTGGGAACAAAAAAATAATTCTGTTGCATATGACGAAGCGAATATGATGAGGTAAATGGAACAAAAAACTGCTTTAAATAAAGAGGGGAAACTAAAATAAACACATTTAAAAAGAAACAAATACCAATGATACTGTCTGCGGAACTTAGGTTGAAGCAAACCAAGTGTTTCGTATAATATTGAATGTTGGGCTCTATAAGGACATCTTAAAACAAATCGACACAAAGAATTGAAGCAGTATTTAAAGGTTTTAAATTAACATCAGAGGTAATGTCATAAATAATATCAGCATAATCAATAATAGGAAAAATTAATTGAGAGATCAATTTTATTCTTACTTTAAATGAAAAACAATTAATAGAACGATAAAAAGAACCTAAGCAGCGATATGACTTTTTAATTATAAAATCAATTTAGTAAAAAGTTCAGTTTAGTAACTGAATAATAAATATAA